TTATCAACCTACTTGCACAGTATACATTTATTAGAGCCACACATTTTTACTTTTTATTAAATAATTAATAATTAAAAATACCAGATAAGATGAGTATTAATGTACACTTTCCCTATGGAGTCATTCGCTCCATTTAAGGAGTTATCTACACTTATTTACAATTAGTGTATTGGCATGTGTCCTACAATAAATACAATTTGGACAAATATCAATACGTTAAGTGGTGGATGGCTCCATAAGAAAACCATCCGATGGCTCAATAGAATTTTTGGTATTGTGTATTAGTAAATTTGTTATTAAAAAAATGTCAAAGTAAGAATTGTTTAGATAGTTCATTTTTTGTACAGTGTACTTTTATTTAACGAGATAAATATTAATTATTGATAAAAAATATAATATAAGGTGTGGATTAATGCATATTACTAATTTGTCATTAAAAAAAAGTCAAACTAAGAGTATTTTAGACAGTTTATTTTTATATTAAAGCACTCGTCATTTTAAAGTAGTGTAGATACTTGTTTTCCAAATATAGACTCAAACTCAATAGATTGATTTACTTCAATAATGTAAATAAATTATAATTTAAGTAAATAAGTTATTCAAAAGAAAATATAGAGATAATAAAGTTTAGGACTATAATTTTTATTTATTATATGTACTAAAGTGTTTTTCTAAATATAATATTACTAGTAGAAAATGGGTCATTATCACCATTACTAACAGAAATTATAATATCAGACACTAAATGTAACGCCCCGTATTTTATTAATAAAGGAAAATACTAGCTTTCAGTTTTAAGCTAGCCTTTGTTAATAAATAGTCATGTTCAAGTTCAGATTGATCAGTCAGTCATATTCTATGTTCGAATTTTAGTCGATAAGTTATTCGGTTTACTTATTTTAGTAACCGAATAGGTTTCCAGATTTAATTCCGATTCATTTAATTAGTTAATGAGTCCGGAATTAATTATTCAGTCAGCGACATCCCGTCAGTTTATCAGTATAAGTTATGTTTTTAGTTCCGATATTAATTATCGGAATTAAATTATTTTTAGTCATTTCAGTCGAAATTACCGGAAATTATTTTCGACGTATCGTTTACGTTCGGAATAATTTTGATAATTAAGCATTATGTTTAATTGGATAATTAAATATAATTAAGTGATTAATTTATAATTAATCACAAGATTAGAAATTAAAGCCGTAAGGATTTGAGTACAAATCATGCAAATGTCGTGTGTATGAAATGGCATGTATTAGTGAATTTGGTTCAAATTTCTTAGTTCATTAAGCCGTGCATTAAGTGGGAAATTGATATAGAATTTTCCAAACACTCTCTTCATCCTTAAGAGAGTTTAAACGTGGCATAATGTGGCTAAAAGTGGTGCTTAGTCACCTAAACATTATTTAATAATGTTACAAGTGTCCTAAGCCAAACTTGACCACATAATCTCTCCATTCTCCTCATGTTTCACTCGGTGCTTATATAAGATGAAGTCTTGGGGAATTTTTCCACCATTTCCCATATATATGTTCATTATAAGCTTACCATAAGTTCACTTCAATAGTCCAGCCATCATATTTATATATAGCATAGTGAAGGAGAGAGTTAAGTGAGTTTGTGAGGAAGCCTAAGTATCGTGCGCTAGTTATTGCAAGTACCACCTAATCGCCGCACCGCAAGCCATCGTGCTCCCGAGCTATCGCACACCGCACGGTTAATCGTACGCAAGCAGCAAGCATCGCACGCGTAGCAGTAGCACTCCACGGCAGACAGCGCACCGCACGGCAATCAGGCGTACGTAAGCACCCGTCGCGTAGTAGTAGTCCGTCACGCACAGACCCCACGCACGCTAGCGGAGGGTCACGGCCGAGTACGGGAATTCGAAAAGAGTTGTCACTCGGGCTTAATCAGAGGTAAATTCCTGACGGTTGTTGACCGAGATTATCATGTTTATTAAGTTCGATTTTCAGTTAGGCGTGCATGTGCGTTATGTGTGGTAAAGGCCGTGCAAGAAGCCGTGCCGATCATGTCATGTTTTAAGTTAAAATTCTCCGAGCAATCCTCACATATTTAGCCTTTATATGCACAATCATGTTTAGTTTAACTTAAGTGTTTGGATGATTAATCATGTTTGTAGTGTTGCGGCCAAAGGTGACGTGGTTGCGCACGTAGCGCACCATGGGCCGTACTCGCTTGTTCAGTATGTTAAGTTCCTTTTCTCGAGCGTTGTTATGTGATTTATTCAGTAGATCATTAATCACGTTCAGTTAAGTTTGAATTGCCGAGAATATATGATGTTCGGTCGTAAAGCGGCACAACGCCGTCGGCGGCG